ACAGAGAGACAGACAGACAGACAGACAGACAGACAGACAGACAGACAGACAGACAGACAGACAGACAGACAGACAGACAGACAGAGAAAGAGTGAGAGATAGAGTTAAAATTGTGTTGGATATAAGGGTATACTCGTTTACCCTGATCTTGAACACGTTAACGTACCGTATTGTTGTATAATATACGACCAAGAAATAAAGGGACAACACTAAGCTCAGTTTGACAGTTACATTTTCTGTTTCTTTTCAATTCTATTTTTCGTTTTCTTTGTTTTTAAAATTTTCCTCGGTTGATATTTATTTTCACAAGGAATTCAAAATTGTTTCGTACTGGCTACCGCGTCAGATCTATTCAAAGATGAGCAACGGGTGTGGTTGAAGGGCGCTCTAAAGTGATTTGCTCCTTCTTTCCTTTTAAACATCGATCACGCTGATCTTTTCTTTTTTTTCTTTTTTTCTTTTGTATGTTACACTCTATTAAAGTAACATATCTTATACTCGACACTTATATAACCTTTTTGTGTTGCAAATACCGTAAAATTCTGACAAAAACTAAAACTAACAAAATGATGAGCAGCAGCGATAACCAAAGACTAAGATATAGACAAACAGATGTAATATAGTAAGGCAAACATAACAGAGAAAAACATAATATTAAAAAAAAACCCCACGCAATCAGTTTCGTCGTAAAACCACCCCCAAGACGTCAAAATTGCTTTAACCACTAATCTATTTATAGAACAAAAACAGAAATTGCGTATCGAGAAGAGAAAAATGTCCTCTCTGACGTTGATCACAGATTGTCAGAAGGTGACAATCCATGTTTGCACCCCTAGGCCGAACGAACAACACATGCCGGCATAGCTGGTGACGTCTACATTAGTGTATACTTTATTGTCTTACTCTTCTCCCACGCAAACCTGTGCTGGGTCAGCGGGGTCACACAGACCGTCACAGACCCACCCCGCCCTTGGCCCAGCTTGTTGTGTTTTGGTCGTTGAACCGTAGCAATTGTCGTACACAAGATCTGAGCGTACCTCGACTAGGGCAGGAGGTTGAAAGGCGCCAATGAGAGGATCGATAGGATCTACTTTTTGTCTTTCCTCCTGTTGTTTCTGTCCATCTGTTTTGCTTTGTTTTTTGGGGGTTTTCAGCACTAAATGAACGTAATTGTGTCCATGTGCCCCTCTGTGCTCAACCAAGCGGGTAGTTGGAGGGCGTCACTTGTAGATATCCTACTTCTTTTCTTTCTTTTTGTCTGTCTTACTTTCCCCCAGAACGAAATGACGTAATGAATGTGCATTGCTGTACTCAAACAAGCTGTTAGATAGAGGGCACATTTAGTAGGCCCTACTTCTTTATTTTTTCTTCTGTTGCTTCTGTCATTATGTTTTAATTTTTCTCTCTAGTAAATGGCTGTTATTGTGTTGAAGCGCTTCTCTTTACTCAAACAAAATAAACCAAACTGGGTAGGGAAAAGATGAAAAGTGCTGTCACTAGTTCTTGACCGCCACATCGGACGTTTTTAAGAGATGGACTGCAGCCTACAGTATACAGGTATTTTGATTAATAAATGTGTTTATTTGCAAAGACTATTCAACAGAATCACTGATACGTGGTTCATAAACACAAAAAGAAGAACAAGTTAAAGGACAAAGAGGCTACAACAGCACTAAAACCTTGAAAGCCGATGTTTCTAAAAATAAATTGTTTGTGCTCCGACTTTACAAAGATTTGCAAAGCAAATAGAAGGTCTGTAAGTCTGTATCAGATGGTGCGGACATGTGGGTAAAGTTGTGCACACTTCTCTTCTCAAACACGACGGTTGCTGCGTTTTGGGCATTGTATCATGACATAATATGATATGGTTTATAAGATAATTTAAATTCCATATCGACACAGCAAGGCCCTCTGAGGAGAGGGGCAGGCGCTGGGGTGGAGCGGGGGTAGGGGGGGGGG